ATCTTAACATTATAAACATAAACAGATTACAGAAGTTTTATTAACAATAAATCACCAACAAACCCGTCATTATAAAAGTTAAAATTCTAGTCACAAGGAACTCATATTTATTGATTAGTTTCAGTCGTGCAAGGCACAGATGACTACTAAGTCGACCTGTGTAAAGATCACAGAAGATGTCCGCCTCTAGTCCTTAATATAAACTCTAAAAGAACTAACTTTCTCATCGTCTTTTGTAATTTTTGTTTCAAGAATTCAAGCAGTATACCCTAATAATTATAACACAAGAGATATATGATATTGAAGAAGAGATTTAAAAATAGATTTTGTTAATGTCTCGTTGGTATAGACGAAGAATCTTTTACAAGATCCTATTCTAACAAATTGCAGAGTTTTTTTTTGTATTCCGTTAGGATTCATTTATAGCATTATTGTCTTTCTATTTTATAAAATGTATTTGATGATGTTTATATGATTTTTTAAAAGTCTATTTGAGTTGAAAAACATTTACGACATTGGGTCAACTTGAACCGGTACCCACAGCATCTTCTGTTCTAACCAATAGAGTTACGGTGTCCTACTTAATTAGAGCAGTGGCTCGTAAATATATTTAAATTCAAATAGATTTCTAATTTATATAATGCGATAACATGTGACAATGTTAAATATATCAAATATTATTTTTTATATTTGAAAGGAATAAGTTTTATGTGCCTCTTTCACACGACAACTTCTATATTTATTTCTTGTTTCTTTTCTCTCTTTTAAATAAAACACTTTAACGGTTTAAAACGCGATATATTAGTAAAACTTATTTGAAAATGATCTTTAACTTCGGCCCGACGTTTCGGATGCTTTGCAGCAGCCGTGGTCACGGGGAGACTAAAGATGGAGGATGTCTCTGACGTCAAAGTAAAAAATTGCTACGCTAGCGTCATCTGTTCCGTCGAATGAATGCAGAATTTACTAACGGTGTCTTCGCGTTTGCCGGTATGCTGTTTATTGGGATCCAGAGTTTTTAAAATGGGGTTCCGTTTTAAACCGTTAAAGTGTTTTATTTAAATGTGTACTACTCGCGTAAATTATAGACAGTATCTAATCTTTTCTCTCTTACTAAAAAGTGGTAATCAATAACGCTTCTCGTCGATTCTTTGGTATAGCATATTAGCCATAAGTCGGAACCCTTACAATGGTACTGTAGAATCCGAGTATATTGATATTAATTGGACGACAGAGAGACCGCTCGTATGGGAACGAATAACAGATTAAACCTGATCACAATTGCTGGAATTCCCTTTGTGAACCAAGGTATGGGCTGCGTCAAATAAATCCCAGAGATGAGCAGGTCGGGAGATGAAAAAGTAATATAAATTGTTTGTGTCGCGTCGGGCTTATGATGAATAATTGGGATGATTTTTATTTGCTCTCTCATATCGCTATACAAGCTTTGCTCGACTCGAATTTTGTATGGATGTCTAGATATCAATCCTAACTTTAAAGCTCATATAACAATTATTCAAAATTGACTTCAAAATGTAAAATTTATCTGTAGTTTACGCGAGTAGACAACGTTGAAATAAAACACTTTCAACGGTTTAAAACGCGGTATATATGAATTAACTAATGTAAAAATTGTTTTGGATTTTGGGTGGAATTTGATGTTTTGCAGCAGTCGTGGGGTAAAGATAGCAGCATCTGTTCATGAAAATGTATGCCAGCAAAAAGACCGCCAAGTTAATAGATTTTTGATACCAAATACAAAATTAATCAAAATGAATAAATTAACGAAATCTAAAGCGTTTTCACAACAACACGGAACGCCTTGCAAACGCTGGTTCGAGTCTCGACATTGCCATACTTTTTTAAATCTAAAATTAATGACACGTGAAAAATAACGACCATTTTATTTGCTACATCATTAAAAAGACAAAAGACGAAACAAAAAAACAAGAGAGCATTTAATACGCTACGATTCGCAACACGAAGATTTACAAGGAATGTAATAATGAGGAAATTGCTTTTATTTTCGCTCCGGCGTTTTAAATAGAAGCCCGTATTTGGTGTACGTTTTAAAATCTCAAACTGCAGCCGTTTTAACCTTGATAGGCTACTTTTTAGAGCAAATATTCCTTTGTGCAGAACAGCAGCTGTACATTCATTGGATTTTCGGTTGAATGGCTCCGATTCTTATTTTTATTGGTAATTAAACAATTAAGCTATTCGTAGGTACAAAGGACGTGTACCCCTTTGAGAGGGAGAAATTTTATCCCCATTGAGGGCTTTGTGGTGTATTTTTGGTCGTTCATTCAGTGGCGAAGGCTCGAACGCTTAGCGCTAAAGGTTTGTACCTTATTTTCAAATCTGTCGCCTTGGAGTGTCTTCAGTTAAAATTATGCCTTTATTTATTTATATAGGCCTTTCGTTTTATTAGTTCCACAAAGTTATAGATAAAACTGACCAGGCAATAACTATTTTGTCCCCCGTTGATAACTGTAATTAGCTGTGTCCACAACCGCGTATAGTAGTTATTTTGGACATCAAAATGTGTAATTGCACTTCTCTTTTATAATTTGTAGCGTCTGCGATTCGACGTTCTTGTTATTCTTAACAGATAGACTACAATATCTAGAATATTTTTGTGATGATTAAAAAAAAAAATCTTTCATACATATTTTTGAATGATCTAAAAAAATGTCCACGAGACTGTAATCTGTCTTTAAAAGGCATTGCTTTGACTTTAAAAGTCACACATCTTTCAGAAAATGTAATATACCAGTATCCATTCAGCTAGACGCCTAGTGATTTTCCTATAATTTTATTGATACTAAACTCCCTTAAGCGATAGATATGACGTCTTCACAAACGATTTATGGTTCATCATCCCGACACCTCTTCCTTTGAACGCGAGTCTCCGGCTCGGCTTTGACGTGACGTCACGAACACTGCGCCGCCATTTTATTTGATAAATGGATACTAGAGCAGAAGTTATGACTGTACATAGTCTGTAGGAACTGGTATAAAGTATGAAGTGTATAAATTTTTTAACTGCCGTTTATATATGTGATAGAGGACATACAAGCATGAGGTTCCACTCAACACGATGCGTTATCGGCCTTTTTTAGCTTTGGATATGACAAGCTGAAACCGAAACGTGACTGTACATCATGGCTTTTACCTTTGGACAAGTGGTTCGTGACCCAAACGAATTTTCAATATTCCTACCACCCATTTAATATGTAGATTTTCAGATGGAGTCAAACATTTTTTAGAAAAAATATAAATTGATTATAAACATTTGGGCCCGTTGGGGATCGAACCCTCGACCGTTGATTACTAGCTTTGCTACCATTCAATCAACAACTATTGGGGCACACCAAGATATTTAGGTGGTAAATAAAAATATTTTGTCTTGTCCCTACTAATAAAGGGAACGTCTACGACCTTGATGGTACGACTAATATCAAAAGAAATTTGTAAATCAAGAAATAGATTGAATAAATGAGAAAACGAACTTGGTTTTTCATTTATTTAATAAAAATCTCTTTTGACTTGAACACAATCACTAAATTACAGACAAAAATTTGTGTAACATTGATTATTTTTATTAACATCAGTCGAGTCGAGTATCTTACGGTACGTACAAAATTAATAACTCGCTGAATAAAACAATTATAAATATGACTATATACAATAATTAAAAGCGTGGATATAAATAATTGTATATTTACATTGTTCTTCGATCATATGTTAGACATTTATTCTGCTATATTTTTATACTTTCTTATAATATTTTTTTTTTCAAATTGTATTTTAATAAAATTGCTTGCTTCATCTCAAGTGACAAATAAGCAATTAAGGAATTTTGCACAAAACATTTCTTATATCAAGTCAAATGGCAGTTCCGTAGTCAGTAGTTCGTATCTTTTTATATTCGTAACAATGACACTAAGTTTTATTAAGCATGAATTACTATCGCCAGAAAACACAACTCTTCATTTACATAACGTAGTAAAGATGACGGCTACCATTGTAAAGATTATATTTACGTACCAAATTTAAGGATGCAGATCCGATATCGGAAGCGAAACATTAACTTCCGATATCGGATCTTAATAAGACATAAAAAATTAATTCAACTTAAAATATTAATTACTATCGGAGTTATAATTTCATTAAAGTAGCCGATGGTAGTAGAATTATTGTTATATTTCTATGCTAAATTACGTTAGTAACTCATGCTAGAAGTATGTACATTTTAAGTTACATGTGCACCGTTACTATGTATCGTAAACAATATGTACAGCATATACAATTCTAACAAGTATTAACAATATCGAAAGAATAATTTAACACTAAGTAGAGTAAATAAAAGGTTGGACCATAAGATTCATTATAAGTGCAAGTTGCCTAACAATATTGAATAATTTGACAATACCAAGCACCAAACTTAGGTCGATCCTTGTAGAAAAATTAGCGCCAAAAATAGTGAAGTGATATTTCGCCTGTGTTTTTAAATATATATAGAAAATATAGTGTTTTGCGCGTGTATAAGCTGTTTGAGAATAAATTGCTGATGAGAACGTAGGATTGAAAGAAATATCTCAGCCTTTTCTGGTACCCTATTATCATCATCATTTATCTAAAAGTAACAATCGTCACTGTTTCTATGAAACGATGTAACAATGCAGAGCGTTAAGGCTTCATTCAACGTATACTCGCCTTAATTAAATTATGTACAGTATTTACAAATGTTTCAAAGCTTTCGCGATGTCTTTAAGACACAATATTAACTAAATTGTTTTATATTCATTTGGAATGTTCATTATCATAAATCCATCGTTAGGTATAAGACGGGCTATTTTGACAATTTTATGTTTTGTGGTACATGTGTAGTTATATAGACGACGTTGTAATTCAGTCAGACTGGGATAAAGATTTCATTCCCTTATATCTTCGTTACTTTTGACGTTTGGACAATGCTGATAATATTTAACTCTGGGCTAGGGAATCCAGCGGCACCACCAGTTTTCCGTTTGAGTAGCTGTAACAAAAAGAAATCATTAATATTGTATTAAATCACATCTTCATAGTTGTATCTGATAAAGAACCTTAGTAACAATATACACTCACAATGCATATTTTATTCTAGACACGATAGATAATAGAACAATTTAAGGTAGATCATATCTAAAAGATACTTAACAGACTATATTAAAATTAGTGCCTCTTTATACGTTTTGACTATTTAAGCAGTTTTGAATACTTTTACATATCATAAAGTGAAGGTTATTTTATAAATAACACATATTAAAAAACACGGATTCAAAAAGGCCCACTGTTAGTTCCACAAGTATTTATATTTCACTATTAGACCAACAGCAAACTCTTCAGATCATAAAAAGATTGTTAGTGGTTAAAAAGGAAGCAAATGTCCTAAAATCCTAACTGAAATAGGTGCGAGATGTACTGAGTGCATTTAATAGGAAAGTACCTGTACGGTATAGTAGCAGTTCGGGATTTAGCTCTGCTTGGCCTACAGGCTTCATCTGTAACCAAGAGAGATTTCCATTGTAACTAAATTATAAAAAAAACTCATGAGCGAAAGCATATACGGCTTTACAAGTTCGTGTTTTCAGTGTGTGTTTGAGCTTCCGTGGAAAGTTTTTACCCGTTAATATTAGCTGTTTATCGACAGGGATTAATTAAGTGGAAGTGCATGCTATTGTCGAGTCTTGCGTAACAATACTTAAGGCAAAGTTCGCAGAAGTAATATCTACGATACCTTAATGAGAGAACTTTGTATGGACTTTGTTAACGGTTCTTCCCACCGCATCTTTGTTAGGATTCGCTTTGGTTCTCTGGAGGATCATCCAATTTACGAGTAGTTAATTTTGCGGAGCATACTTCAAATACTGGGAATTTCGAGAGTGGAAATCCTCGTAGAGGAGATGGACGTATTGACAGACGCGCTCGTAAAATAACAACTAAACAAATAAGGATTTGGAAACCATACCCGATGCTGAATAATTTTGCGTGATGCTATTCGTGAAATCGAAATGACGTCACACAATTGTATGCTTTAAGTGAAGTGTGATGGATGTCTTACCATTGACCGGCTAACATCGTTGGGAGAGGCACGCGTCGCATTTGACGGGCTCAGGTCTTCGCTTGCCTTGCGAGCCCTGCGACCCGGACTTACGCCGGAAAGTGTACCTAACGAGCAGACCTGCAATGAAACGGCGCACCGTTAACAAAACAAACAAAAATAACACAGCGAGCGCGTCCATTCGAAAAGCGCCTCTAGGCAGACGAAAGCGGACGAAAAAAAAACAAGATTTCATGACCCGATACCGCTCAGAATCGTTTGCGTTGTGGGGATATAATGTATGCCGGGTTGTTCGAGTAATTGGGGTGTATGTCTAAAGTATGTACTTGAGCTTGACGGAGTGTTGGTGAAAGGTTTATGATTTAAAGTAAACAGCAAGAATTGATTGCAGAGTTAAGTAATGGAAATAATTAGTCACATGAGAGCAAAAGAAAGAAAATATGTGATCAAACTTACCCGTAAGACCCGCTTTGTTGATGCTATTTGAACTTGAAAAGCCGGATATCTTTTTCCAAGCTTTTTTATTCCAGAAGCCTGTCGATTTAGCATCTCCGCAGCTGGAACTTCGAGGTGACGGAATTTCTCTAGGGCAACGTAACTGACAATCATCAGCACCTAAAATTCGTACACCGGCCCCTCTCGTTCCATATGCAACAGCTGGTAAGTGTGGAACTGAACCAGTCGGCTTCCTTCTCAAACTGCCTACATAACTAGCACCACTACTACTCCCACTAAAACCACTATCTAAATCTGGAGGATTACAACTCGCGGGAGATAATAGTTCGTCCGTGGGTCCGACCCTCAACAATTCTTCTATATTGTCTCTATCCTCAGCCCTCTCCGAATCCGGTGACTCGCATTCAGGCATGAGCATGGCTTCAACACTCAAGTTTAGTTCTCCTAATATTCTTTTATGTCTAGATTCGACGCGACGCACTTCTTCTTCGACTACACTTCTGTCCAATGAAATAAGACTTTGTCTCGGGGCGTGTCGATGTTTCGGACATGTTCTAGAACCGTCCGTTATTTCTTCGTATATATTCTCCTCCGTGCCGTATCGAGTTACGTAATTGTGACGCGCCGATCGCTCTCTTGGCAGGCCACGTCCACGCTGACGATTTACTTTTCTCGACGACGAAGGCATTGACAAATGATGGTCATAATACGCGTATGAATAATCGACCGGCTCAAATCGCTCCATAGTAGCAGCAATATTACTGCGGTTCCATGATTGTGATGGTTGATCGCGTAATAAATTTATTCCGGCAAGTCGAGCGGGTAGAATTTCATCAAGATCGCGAGCGCATCGCTCGTCCAACGATTGCGCACCGTCGTCGTCTTCCCGCTTATGTTTCCTATGAGGTCGGCGACTGGTTTGACTCCGTGGGTGACCTCTGTCACTGTCTGATCCATGTTCATGATAATCTGGTGTGTGACTTCGGTGATACTCTGAGCGGTGCTTGTTGCAATCGGTCGCGTGGTGAAAGTTATGTCTCAGACTGTAACTCGAATTCCCTTCATAATCGGAGCGGTCATAACAAGGGCTGTCGTCAGCATTACTGCTGTGGGCGTGAGGGCAGTCCGCCGCAATACCGGACTCCGATGAGGGGTAGTCGTGTACTTCGGCTGTGGTAAAGACCCTTTCGTCCGGCCTGGCGGGTTCGGATACCGCATGTCGATGATGAGGTCGCGGTCTGGTAGATTCCCTGCAGCTGGCGAAGGTTCTTTGAAGAGAAGGTTGGTGTGGATACTGCAGACACCGTGAATTGAACACCGCCCCCCCAGACTCGTCGGGGCTCGGCGGCGCGCTTCGTGATTCCATGGCTCATCCTCTCATACCCGCATGGTTACCTGGAAATAATAAATGGAATTTAATAAAAGAATTGCATTTGGCTGCGAATAAAATCCACAATGTAGCGCGCGAAAGCCCGAGGGCATTGAATCCGAAATTACAAGCCCATGATAAGGGTAGGGTAAGTGACGATCAACACAGCAGACGACGTCGATATATCATCATCAGTCGCCGCGTAATAAATTGGGGCTTCGCGTCGTGTTTATTGTTGCATATTGTTGGCATAAAAAACGTAATATAAAATCACATTAGTCATATTACAGCTATAGCATATTTGTGTTATACTTTACGTTCAATTGGGGTTCTAAATTGTGTAATATATGAATGCAATGGTTTAATTAAATTTTGAGCTTAGAACAGAATGAAAATAAGAAGATTAATTGAATTGAAAAGATCGTCAAGAGGTTGGATATGTCGTAGAACTTAAAATTCAAGTATTCCTAAAAAACAACAACCTACAGTAACTAAGTGTAATATTTTTTTTCTATGATATAACAATCATAGGGTTCTCTTGCTGGAAATGGAAATTCTCTAGCCAAATAACATCTCAACAAGATACGTTTCGATCTATTATGATTTTGGACATTCGGAAATCCACAGACGGAAACCGAAATACGATAAATCTAACTCAATCATTTAAGTTTAAACTTAAAATGTTTACAGCAGACGATTACTATACGCTTGTTGCGCAAATGTTGTCAAAACATTTAAATAAAACACTTTTAACGGGTTAAAACACTAAATGTACTAATTAATTCATTTACTTGTTTTCTCATATTATTCGGTATTTAGAGAATCATATAGATGCTACGAGAGATCAGATGGCGATGACATTGACATTAGATACACCCTCCATCTTCAGTCTCCTTGTGACCACGAATGTGGCATTCGTGGTCACGGCATCCGAAGCATCGGGCCGTAGTTAAAATAAGCTATGTTTAATTGACTGTCCGTTAAAAGAGAGTTAACCACAGGAAATAATTGCCAAAGCATTATCATTAAAGATTTTATTTTAATAACATTGCATTTTTATTGCGGCCCCGTTTTAAGTTATTGCACGCATTCCAGACCAATTTATTACGATAACAATAATAAGTGTCCGTGAACTAGACGCAGAGGGAGCGCGAAGACCCTCCAGCGTGCCCGTTGCCATGACAACGGGTCTGTTCCCGCGGTACAGTGGCGCTTCCGCCCGATTCGATGCATCTAAATCATCATCAACGTTGGGGCCTCATAAAGGGAGCTTTGGGAGCGACAATTTGTGTTGCTCTATTGCACTGACCGTGGTTTGAGATTTTTCCCATTGCGTAAAGGACATGTTAAGACGTTTAATAGGAGATTTGCTCATGTTTTATTTATTTTATTGTTAGGTTTCTAAAAAAAATAATAAATACGCAAGTGTTAAGCTTGAAATTACACCGCGAGAGTAGTTGCTTCGATTTTTTTTTATTTTTAATCGCGTAGAATTTTGTCATCTATCAGTAGATTGACGAAATTCTACGATGACGTGTATACGGTAACTCAATTGGTAAGAGCAACAGCAGGGAACGCTGTGGACGCCGGTACAAGTCCCGCCTTTGTCATATTTAAAAAAAAATCTAAAATCGATTTTTAAATAGATTTAAATTGTGATTTATGCTTGGTTAGCAAGAAGTAAGTTTATAGTATATATATATATATAGTCCTACACCTCATCGTCGATTTTTTTTCAACTTATTGATACATGCATCTCTCGTGCGCGATGACTCGGTAGCTCAATTGGTAGAGCAACAGCACGGAAAGCTGACGATGCCGGTTCAAGTCCTGCCCGAATCGAAAAATTTTTCAATTTATTTTCGATTTTTAAAGTAATATAACCTCTTAATTACAATATAGGATAGATACCGATGTTGTAATTGACAATATTCCAATTACGACCAAATAGCTTGAAAACCAAGTAAAAACAACAGTTTTGCAAAATGACCGCAAAAGCCAAATCACATATATAATTTATTTGACACTGTGATATCAGCAGATAATACCCTTTACCACCCCACTCGTATAGAAAAGTTACGTACGTTTGGGGTAAACATGCAATATGGCTGAACAAGTCACATTCGGGAAATATAAAATTTTAAATTATGTTTAAATGTTTTTAATACTTGGTGTAAATCAATGTTTCATTTCTAAATGATTAAATCATTATAATTGAAAAAGAGTTTTACTATTTAAAAACTTTAACGGTTTAAAACGCGATATATATTAGGTAAACTTATTTGGAAATTATTCTAATATGTATCTCATTTTAATCCGTTAAAACGTTTTATTTAAATTATATTTATATTGTAATCAAAAATATATATGACGTGGAAGTAACTCAATTCCACTACCAACAGCATACAATCTTCAAATAGAGCTTTCTGGCGTACAAAGCGTTAGGAATTTAGATAATTGAAGGTGCGTCAAAGTTGACTAAATTGAAAATACTAATGGGTCAATGGTTCACAACGCGCTTGTATCATATTGTTTTATCAAAAATAATTATCTCACGATGTTTGTAATCACATTTAGGTTTTTCTTATGATGGTATACTTTTTAATTAAAAACCTATATATTTAGATTTTTTAAAATGGCAGGGCTTGAACCGACATCCAGAGCGTTTCATGCTGCAAACTTATTAACGTCGTCAAATTTTATCAATTGTAAATATATTTTTATTTATACAAGTATATATTTTTATCTATTAAGTAATTAACTTGTACTATTCAAAGTTTGGGTACAAAATAAGGGATAAAATACCACCACAAACGGTCATTTATCATTGTTTTGATAAGATAATGAGACAAGTTATTCACCCTCCGTTTATTTTGAATATAAAATATGTATATTTTTACACGCGACTCGGTACTTCTAAATAACAATAACTTATAACTAACTTTATACGTGGCCTATAATTGCGTTAAATTTCAGATCCAGGGTTAATAACTTAATATATCCGTAGTAGATATTCCTTACGCGATACACATGTAAATAAACACTTTTAACGGTTTGAAACGCAAAATATTTTTTTTTTTACATTAATGACCCAACATTTTTATTCATTTGTGGTGGGAGATCCTCCTCATTAAAAGGAAAATACGTAATAGATATCACGTCTTTCTTCTAAGCATCCTGAAGTACAGGAGAAAAAAAATAAAAAAGGCTATAAGTGGGTAGGTGTAATAAATATATTATTATAGAATTTTCGTCCAGGTCGCGAACCACCGTTCCACAGATGAAAAGAGCCGTGAAGTTTAATCGCGTTTCGGTTTCAATCTGTGTATTTCCGAATATCCAAAGCCAAAGTAGGTTGACAGTGTACCTTAGGTATGTACCTGGGCTATCACCTATTATCAAGTGATTATCATGCCATGTCTTTTCTCCTCTATCAATAAAATACCGAAACTCAATACAAGAAAACCACGATAATGTACAATAAACAGACGAACTTACTGCAAGTAAATCGAGTTTAGGAGTTGTTCAAGAAGATATTTTATTCCCTTAGCGAATTTTATCAATAAAAACTTGTAATGAGGTGGTAAATAACATTATTCGGTCGAGAATTGTAATATTTTTTACAATAGCCACGTAATGAGAGCGTGCGTGACGAATCGAAACTTGCCGACTCATTCAATGATTTTAACTTTGCGCTGACGGCTTTTGTGCTTCAAATTTGATTAAATATATTAATATCTTATTAATTTAGTTACGTTAGCAAAATGAGCTATTTGTCTGTATCAATGATTGTTTCAATCTCTCTTATTTATACTAATATATAAAGCTAAAGAGTTTGTTTGTTTGGACGCGCCAATCTCAGGAACTACTCGTTAGAATTGAAAAAATATTTTTTTATTGGGTAGAGCATTTTTCAAAAAAGGTTATAGGCTAACACATTGCGATGAGACTAATAGGAGCGAAGAAATAACGGATAATGTGAAAAAAAACGGGGAAAAATCATCATTATGGGATTCCGAAGCGTACGCTGCAAGAACGGTTTAATATACCCAACAAATATGTAAGAAAGAATTACTCCTCTTTAAATGATCTAAAAAAATACGCGACGCTATATGACTATCTTTTAAGATTAACTTGCAAGAACGGCGGGAAGTGACGCGACCGATGTCGTGGGCATCAGTTTTAGTTTATAGAGATGAAGGGGTTTGCAAAAAAGAATTTTGAGGCCCAAAATAACGAATAACCAAAATAAAGAAATAACCAATATTTATAAAGCCAATCAGCCTTATATTATAAATAAATTTTCAGATCACGTTAAACGAATTAACACTGAAAGATTTATCGTTAAAGGCAAACAACAACAGATTGTATTGTTTGATGTTTGACAATGATTTTAGTGTCTGTCTAGATCTGAGTTTGAGTTCCGGGTTGTACAGTAAGTAGCATTTTATATCTTTTTTTATTAAGAACTCGTAAACATGAAGATTGTTCGATAAAACTAGGAAGTCGCATATAAAATGTGTATTTATCTTAGCATTAACTATGTGAAATTCAGTTTCCCCGCCATGGGGCAAACACATATCTCGTTAATATCAGAATTAAGCCTTAACAAATTGATTTTTTATCTTTGACCAGGATTTAATCCAGTATCTCTTGCACTAAATGCAGTTAACAATTGGTTAATTATTATGTTTAAATCCTGACTGTACTACTCAAGTGCTATATACAACTTTTACAAATTGTTTTACTCTTCGTGACAACGACTTGTAAATAAGTTTAACATATTTCACCTTTGAAACCGTCACGGAGGTCTCAAATAACTGTTGGGGTAGAATCGTATAATTTAAATAAAACACTTTAACGGTTTAAAACGCGATATATTAGTTAAACTTATTTGAAATGATTTTTAACTTCGGCCCGACGTTTCGGATGCTTTGCAGCAGCCGAGGTCCCGGGGAGACTTCGATATTCTATTTCCAAATCGATTTTGTATCTAC